AACCGCTTCCCTTCGCCTGCCAGTCACTGCTCTGTCATTTACATGCTGCCTTTTGTTTCTTGCTTCATCAGAAGAACAAACATTTGTCACAATAGAAGAGTTACATAATAACAGAGTTCTGCAACGTGCGCAGGGAAGTGTGCGGCACAAGGCTGTGATGCAAAGGACGGCCAGCAGGAGGCGCCAGTGGGGCTTGGGGAGCAGGATGGTACGTCTGCTGTAGACACATGAGATGCGGAAAAATTTGGTTCACTTCGGATATTTAGTTATATCGGGATTCGGATTTTGGATTCGGACTAATTTTTATTAGTTTCGGATGAGTTTACGAACGAATATTCGTTGCGAATACCACAGAAAACCAAATACAGATATTAATACTAAAGCTGGATCTCCTTGACCCGAATGGCATTCGGGATCTGAATTTCTGAATAGCATTCGGGAGCTAACGAATGCCATTCGGGTCTGGGAGCCATATACATATATTACTAAAGCTGTGGATCCAAGACCCGAATGGGTTTCGAGAACTCCCCAATGCAATTCAATTATTTAGATCCCGAATGCCATTCGGGTCTGGGAGCCTCAGCTTTAGTAATATATGTATATGGCTCATGTAAGGCTCCCATGTTGCCGTAATGAAATCGTTTTCAGACCCATTTGGACGTATTAAACCGAAAAACAAATCTGATTTTTTGATTCAGAGCTAAACGAATTGCACATGTCTAGTCTGATCTCCTGTATGTGGTCAAGGGGGCTGATGAAAGCCCTGAGGATGGGGCACTTTTTTAGCCCCCATTCACATTCGGCGATGCGGAAACGCTCACAAACAGGAACCCGTGTTTGTGTGCGGTTTTTTTTTTTGGCACATCTGCCGCCCATTGAGTTCAATAGGTGCCGCACGTGCGGCAAACACGGCAAGGTAGCCCACGCAGTATTTTCAGCTGCCAGCATCTGTGTTGTTTTCCCGGACGTTCACGAACATGACAAAAAAGCAGGTTTTATCAGCCGCGTTTGGGGTGCCATTAACAAGTCATGGCACTGCGAGCGCAATGCACGTGTTGCGTGAACGCATATCAAAACATGCGCTTTGGCATGCGTTCAAATGTGAATGGGGATTTAGATCCCCTTCCCACCAGTTAGTCTTGTTCACACCTAGGCGTACCAGGAATAAGCATTAAGCGTTTTTTTCCCGCACATCCTTATTGATCTCAATGGGAGCCGCAACCACGCGATTAACTCGGTAGAAAAGCTCGTGTAACAAATTGTGCTGCAGCGTCCCGTGTTTGCAATGTGTGCAAATATGTGGGAAACAGGCGTATTTTCCTGGCGCTGTTTGGGGTGCCATTAACAAGTAATGGCACTGCAAGCCCGAGGCACATTTTGAACACGTTGTGTAAACGTACGTCAAGGCGCATGTTTTGGGCAATGTTCACACGACGCAAAGGTGTGCACGGGGACTCCCTTTTCTACCTGTTAGTCCCCAGGCATACCAGAACACATGCGTGCAGTGGCGTCACTAGGGGGTTGCCTGGGTGACACCATTGGAGGAGTGACGGTCATTTTGGTGTCATTCCCTATGAAAAGTTGGACACTCGTGTGTGGTATTTTTTTCCACGTGTGCTGCGCGTCGCAATGGGCGCCACGTGCGCAACAAACGTGGAAAAGTAGCTCATGTAGCGGATTCTGCTACAGGTGTCCTGCTTTTTTTTTTTTCTGCGTGTTTTGTGCGTGCTTTAATGTGCATGAACATGAGTAAAAAACACTTGACTTCCCAGCTGCATATGGGGTGCCATTAATAAGCTTGACGCGCATTTGCCGCATGATCATAGAACACCTAGGTGTGAGCGCAGTGTACAAGCCAAGAAACACCCACTCCAGAATAAGACCCATTAAGGTATTTTGATATTTGCATAGCTCCTCCTAAGAGCCAGCCCACTGCTTGCACCAGGCAGGGTGCTGTGGTGTTTTTAGGAAGCTATGTGCAGCATCCTGCTGGCCCCTCCCACCAGTGATGACATCACCAGGTCCAAATTCCATTAGCATGCCGATGAAGGAGGAACCAGGGAAGACTAAATAAAAGCTGATTAAACTTCAGCTATAAAGGCATTGAACCTGCCTTTTCAGATGGGCTTTAACACATGCATATGAGGCAACCGGAGGGGTCTAAATTAAAACCAAAAAGAATTTACAGGCATCCCCTTTAAACCTTTCTTGCAGTCTATTAAAGCACATCAGTCCCCCCTCCCCGCTACCTCTGTGTCGCCCGGGACAGGAATTGTATTCATTCTCTGATTTTATCCACCGTCAGCTAATAAGATTCACTCGGAATCCTTGGCTTCTAAAAGCCTCCAGCTCCCCAGATCACAGAGGCGCGCGTAATCCCAGCACGACGCCTTAATTGGAATGCGGGATTATGGCGCTCTGGAAGCAAGACACGAAGCAACTCAATTCCGCTCACCTGTTGCTCGTGCAGCAGGAACCTTTGAAAGTCGTGTAAATGGACCGCGGAAGCGTTGGAGCGATCCACGTTGCTGAAAAAGAAAAAAAAAACACAGCGGGGACGTCAAACGGGGGGAGGAGGGTTGTTTTCGGGGGTTGGGCTTGGCCCCTTAGTTCCAGTTAAGGGAACTCTTAAGGCATCAGCATACCAAGACATTTTGGACAATTTCATGCTCCCAACTTTGTGGGAACAGTTTGGGGGTGGCCCCTTCCTGTTCCAACATGTCTGTGCACCAATGCACAAAGCAAGGTCCATAAAGACATGGATAAGCGAGTTTCGGGTGGAGGAACTTGACTGGCCTGCACAGAGTCCTGACCTCAACCCGATAGAACACCTTTAGGATGAATTAGAGACTGCGAGCCCGGCCTTCTCGTTCAACATCAGTACCTGACCTCACAAATGGTCAAACATTCCCATAGACACACTCCTAAACCTTGTGGACGCCTTCCCAGAAGAGGTGAAGCTGTTATAGCTGCAAAGGGTGCAGCCAACTCAATATTGAACCCTACGGACTTAGACTGGGATGCCATTAGAGTTCATATGCGTGTAAAGGACGGCGTCCTAATACTTTTGGCAATATAGTGTATATGAGATATACATTTTATATATTATATACACATTTATATAAAATGTCTGCTTTACATATGTATTGAAGAACTTTTTTTTAGTTATGGATACAGCAAGGGCGGGTTATATCCGGTCAGCTTTTTTTTGCTCTGTGTCCCATCAAGGAGATTTTCCTTCACTTCCTGTCTGATAGCCACAACAGGAACAGGCCACCAGAACTAGTGTCCCCAGTGAAAGATTTCTCTATTCCTGTTCTGCTGACAACCTGAAATTTGGGATTGTCTTTCAATTTTAGTGATATCATGACCAGCATATACATAAGGAGCAAAAGGGAATACTGCAGAATGTCACATGACAGTGGACTGGACTCCACATTCCTTCCCAGCAGATGTGTCTTATATATGAAACATAATCTCTTACCCCAAGATAAATACTGAGGAATCTTTTTTGAATTCATCCAGAATCTGAAGAAGAGAAGAACAGATGATGGTGTTAGGTACTTATAATGTCATGGTGACTACAGGGAGGAAGAAGGAGCTGTAAGGGGGTAAGAACAGATGGGGGGAAATCAAACCTCAAAATGTACACATTGTAATACCATTTTCTTTTTTTTTTGTTTCCCTCGTATGGCCACGTCTGCACATTTGTGGCTGAATTCAACTGGTGAGGCAAGGGGGTGCAGGGGATGTAGAGAGGAGTCAGAATGGGTTGTCCAACAAATTCATATAGGTGTGTCAGTTTACATGGGGTCTTACTACTCCTCAGGGTTGCCTTGTGCGGCAGAGGGCACGGGTTCTCCTTCCTGGCTGGACTCCTGGTGCCAGGGTTGCGGGTGCGCACGAGCGGCGGACAGGCGTAGTGCGCCTGCACCCATTACTGGTGTCAGGTGTGGGCCTTGCTGGGGGAAGTTCTCAGCACACATCCTCTGCCTTTCTCTTGCCATTGGCTCCTGGATGGAAAAACTCGGCAACCAGGGGGTGGTCTTAGTTCCCCACTGGGTATAAAAGCCCAGTCAGAGCCCTGGCTCATTGCTGAGTTATTCTACCTATATGGTGCATCGCCTAGCCTCCTGTGTTTGCTGCTGCTGCTATTTCCTAACCCCTCGTCTGACTTCCTGTAGCTGACTCTTTGGCCTGCCTTCCCGTTCTTGAACCCCGCTGTCTGCCTCAACCCGGACTGGACTTTGACTTCGAGCTTGGATTGCCCATTTTTGTACCTCGCTCTCGGACTACGGCCCGTTCCTGCCAGTGGGTTCCGCTTCCCGGCCCAGGCCGACGATTACCTCCTGACAAGGTGTGACGGTTCGGTGTCCACTAACTATACTTTTCAACTGTACAGACCATCATATACTAGAAAGGAAAGATGGTTCAATGTTTCCTCTGCTCTACCAAGACTTCTGACTCCTCTCAACATCCCCTGCACCCCCTCACCCCTACATTAGAACTTTGTTAAATGTAACCACAAATGTCCAACCTTGAGGAGAAGAGAATAAACAGTTGTCACAATTTGTACATTTTGACATTGCCTCATCTTACGTTGGTGCCCTAGTTATAGGCCCATGAGTGCCATTAAAGGAGAACTATGTTGTCAGGGCTTTTCCCCATAGTTCTCCTAAGGGACGAGACGCCGCAGCCGGAGCGGATCCCGACATCGATTGTCGAGATCCGCCCAGCTGCCTCTGCCTATCTAGAGGCAGAGCCAGCTGTACCCGCCCCCTCCCCGTCCGTTCCGCCAGTCAGCGCTGGTGGATCGGGGAGGGTGGAATCCAGCCCCTCTCTGCCGTGACAGGACCGAGAAGTAAGCAAATACCGGTATGTGTTCGCTCACTTCCCGATCTACTGAGCCGACCTGTGACAGTCTCATTGTCACAGGTCGGCTAGAACTATGAGGTGAGTGAAAAGCATTCACCTCATAGTTCTCCTTTTAAGGTAAACCCAGCCTTGACTATGAGCTATCCATATCATCGGTAAGGAAAACTCTCTTTTTCAGCAAGCAATGACAGTGTATAGAAACTTACTGACTTTTGCTGGTCAAACATCATATTTTTGTAAAAAGAATGTAAATGTTCAAAACTGAGGTCCTCCTTGGGGATCCCGATCTCCTGCAAACAAAATATGAAATAGGTTACCTCCTTGTAGTATGAGAAGAGAAACAAGCCTTGAATGTGTAATGAGGACTTATTGGATAACCTGCTATTGTATTATAGGTGACGGCTACTTATATCAACCAAAAATTGGTCTTGAGAAGGTAAACTTTAATTGTTTAGGTTCAATTTTTTTTTAATTTTGATTTTTTTTTTTGTTTAACTAACAGTTATATCTTAATTTTATTATTTGGATGAAATATTTGACGGATAACATTGTAATACAGAGTTCATCCATGACAATGGTTTCACAGAACATTAGCCGTTTTCATTAGAGAGAGGCAGCAGAAGCTGGTTGCCTTCAGACTCTCAGTCAGGCCTGGAAGAGCAGACGGAGGCGTCTGTGTAAGGCCAACATGACAGGGTCTTGGAGAGGCTAACTGGGTTTAGTGAGGGTTAAATTGTTATCGATCATGGTGTGTTTGGGTGGGATCGCTTACCTGATTGGTCAGGGTGCTGAGAGGTGGGGTATAGGTGGCTCCCTGGGAAGGAAAGTTCCAGTCTCTGTGGGGTCCAAGCATGGAAACAGCTTCATGCCCTCCCACCCTGTTTGCCATATTTGTTTTTTGTTGCCTTTGCGCTCTTCTCTTGTTTTCTACCTTCTTGGCTACTTTTGTCCTTTTTTTTTTCTATCTGTTTTTTCCTGTTTTCTTGTCACTGCAGCCGGTCAGGGTATTAGGGTCCTTGAGGTGCAACATATTCCCTTGATGTTTAAAGGAGAACTATGAGGTGAGTGCTTTTCACTCATCCCCATAGTTCTAGCCGACCTGTGACAATGAGACTGTCACAGGTCGGCTTAGTAGATTGGGAAGTGAGCGAACACATACCGGCGTTCGCTCACTTCTCGATCCTGTCACGGCTCTCTGCCGTGACAGGGGAGGGACTGGATTCCCCCCTCCCCGCTCCGATCCTCCAGCGCTGACTGGCGGAATGGACGGGGGAGGGGGCGTGTACAGCTGGCTCTGCCTCTAGATAGGCAGAGCCAGCTGTCACTCAGCTGGGCGGATCCAGACATAATTGTCGGGATCCGCTTCAGCTGCGGCGTCTCAGTATACCGCGAGCTGTCGCTCGTGGTATACTGCGGCGTCTCGGTATACCGCAAGCTATAGCTCGCGGTATACTGAGCTTAGGGTGACGGGAGGATGCTAGTTTGTGTCCTCCCGTTCCCCTAAGGAGAACTATGTGGAAAAGCCCTAACCCCATAGTTCTCCTTTAAGTGACAGTGGGGAGCCGTCTTTGGTATGGCATCCCTGTCTTAACGGGTCCATCATTAGTTACTTAGTATCTGATGTTAGATCACAAGTCACCGAGGCGGTGTTGTGCAGCTTGAGGCTGTGTGGGCAGATACTGGGTATTTTGGTGCTGGATATCACATCAAGGACCTTATCTCCAGCGGTCAGTTAATTTGTTAAAATTGTTAATTTGGCTTTGGCACTAAATAATAAAATGGCTTATGTGGCCACTAAAAATCCAAGACCAGTGTCATGTCATTCATTAACAAAAGGTTATTATCTGATTTGAGTTGTTGGGGGGGTTATTGGACCATTAGGAGGTGTATACAATGCCCTTGTCATGGGGTTGCCTTACTAAAGGTGCACAGGTTGTTCACTGTTTAAGGGAATTCCCCTTAGCTTAGTGAATGAAGTGAAGCCTTGCTGACTTCCATCATCCAATCATGCCCAAGCACATTGTATTCTCCAGAAAGTGAGTGGAATGCTCTCCCGCATTCCAATGTTTAACTCAGGGAACAGTCACCCGTGTGACATCAGCCCAAAACAAGGTCAGAGTTCTCAATAACGAAATATAAAGTACATTTTGTGTGTACCATGGGGAAGGCATCTAAAAGGGATAAGGGATAAAAGAAACATTTCTAGTCTCCAGTTCACCGGCATCTGTTCAAAACTCAAATACTGGCTCAGATCAGATCACATCATCGTATTTACCAGGATCTTGTCCTTAAGGGACTTCACGCTGCTGACTTTGAAGTTGATCTGTGGAAGGATGGTCTTCAGTTCTCGTGTACTAATGCTGGGAAAGGAAAAGACACATTTGTTATTAGGAGTCCAACGTCCAAATCAGGGCTGTAACTACAGATTACAGGGCCCCAAAAATGTGATGGGGGGGCCCTGATGACCTGTCTTTGAGCTTTGCGTAATGATGCCAAGACTCCAAAGACTCCTTGTGTATCTGAAGTCGTCTGTAGACTTTAAAGGGGAGTTGTTGTCAATTGCAACCAGTCCAACCCTTAATCATAGTGTACTGTATTAACTTCACATATTCTTAATTTGCCTCAACAACCTAATGGGCCCCCTTCCACCCCCAGGCCCCATAGCAGCTGCCTAGACTGCTATAGCTATAGTTATACCACTGGTCTAAATTAAAGAAAGAACATCTGCTGCCACTGCTGGACTAGTTGGCTTGCTGTTATATTAATCCAGAGGCTTCAAAACTTTTTTGTTAAGTCAATGACCTGAAATCAGGAGTTTTGCTTTCCTCTGTCCACTTTACTGCATGTTTATTCTAGTTCATTGATCAATGCACTGAGACCAAAAGCAGCCAGCAGGAGGTCAGCATTGGTAAGATATTATCTTGCCAGAGGTTCACTTTAAAGCCAAACCCATAAAATGGTTATATTGATCCAGAGACTTCAATGCTTTGTGTGCCACTGCAGTGATCTGGAACAAGTAGGCAGCTCAGGAGTGTTGGTTTTCCCCTGTCCTCACTTGCTGCATGCTTTTTATAGTTAAAGGAGAACTATGACATGAGTGATTTCCACTCACCTCATAGTTCTAGCCGACCTGTGACAATGAGACTGTCACAGGTCGGCTCAGTAGATCGGGAGGTGAGCGAACACATACCAGGTTCGCTCACCTCTCGATCCTGTCACGGCTCTCTGCCGTGACAGGGGGAGGGGCTGGATTCCCCTCTCCCTGCTCCGATCTGCCAGCGCTGACTGGCGGAACGGACGGTGGAGGGGGCGGGTACAGCTGGCTCTGCCTCTAGATAGGCAGAGCCAGCTGTCACTCACGCAGCTGGGCGGATCCCGTCATCTACGTCGGGATCCGCTCCGGCTGCGGCGTCTCAGTATACCGCGAGCTGTAGCTCGCGGTATACTGAGCTTAGGGTAACGGGAGGACGCTAGTTTGTGTCCTACCGTTACCCTAAGGAGAACTATGGGGAAAAACACTGACCCCATAGTTCTCCTTTAATTCACTCACTACATTGAGACCAAAGGCAGCCAGAGGGAGGTCACAATTGGCCAAGTATTGTATTTCACTTCCTTTAAAGCTGAACCCCCAAAAAATGGTTATATAACCAGTGGTCACCGATGACCAAAGAAAGAAGACAGAGGATGCAGAAGAACAGAGCAGAGCTGTGGAAGGGGCTACTCACAGAGCCTGCCTTCTGAACTACAACTCAGTGTCTGATCAATGTAACATTTTCATTGCTTGCTGGAAGCAATGCATGATGGGATACAGTATGAATTCTTGATAAATGGAGATTGCATCATATCAAGCAGCAGGGAAAGAGATGCAAAGCACACTGGGGATCCAGGAAGTTGTTTTCAGACACAACTCCAGTATGTATTCCTATTACAATGCTGATGTCATAACAGGAGAGGATATGCTGCCACTTTACAACTCCTTCTTGGCATTGGTTTCCCATCAGTGGTGTCACAAGGGGGGTGCAGCCCGCACCCAATGTGCCACCTTTGGAGGGGTGACACCAAAATGACTGATAGTCATTTTGGTGTGCCCCCCCTATGAAAAGTCCGGCACTCGGTCACGGATTGAGAGCCCTGCAGTGTCAATAGAGAGGAGGGGACCCGGCTGCATACCTAATCCCGCCGGGTGAACGTCCCCTCCTCTCTCTGCCGGCGTCCATCACCAGGATGGCCGCCGCCAGGCGTCAATAAGACAGCCGCTCGAGCGCAACGACATCGTTGCGCATGCGTGCGGCAACATCACGTGCGTGCGCGATGACGTCATGGCCGGGTGTCGCCCGGTCTCTGCTCCAGGTGACACCCAGCCTCGGGATGCCCCTGTTTCCCATGTCCGTGCTTGGCTTCTTATGCATCATTTTTTACTAATTGAATATCAAGATTCCCCCCAAGTCGTAGGCTTCAATGAAAAATGTTGAGGACATTTTGCAAAACCGCCCGCAAGTTGAACCCGGGAAGATTCGCTCACCCCTATTCACTGCTTACAGCGAGGTGCACATCACTGCTCAATCACTCCATAAAAGATATTAAAAATGCTTTCAGTCTGGCTCCCAAAGTCTGTTTTACCCGGTGTGTAGCAGCGTAGGCAGGAACAGTATTCCTGATTAATAGGGGATATTATTCTAAGCCTCATGGCTAAAAAGTACCTTGAAAGTGGCAGAAAAGTACCTAGCAAAGTGCATAAACTGTGATTTGTGCGTGCCATAATAAGACGTCTGTTTCGGCGCGCTGCGTTCATGCACTCTACTATACCGAGACGCAGTTATTGTTTTCCAGTCTCGGCGTGTGACCTTTCTTCCCATCCATGTATCGCAGCATTCTGGCTGATATAAAAAGACTGGCGGAGGAATGGAGACAAGGTAATGAAGATGTGCCCTAGTTTTTACTGGTCTGTGCTCAGTCGCAGAGTTACCTACCACTGTCAGTGCATGAATAAAATTTGGCTCCGGGCTACACCTCATTCTGCCAGCGTGTCATAAATAAGTCACTGATTGCCGAGTCAGTAAACCCAAATTACATTGTTTTCTTAAGTGGTTAATGGAAAAGAAGCTTTAACAACATTTGTGAATAAATAAATGGAAAAAGTCTCTGGAAATTATTAGAGGAGAATGGGAATGAGTGAATCGGAAGGGGTTCAAATCTCTGGGGGTTCCTCAAACTCTGCTTGAAATCTGCAAAATCCAAATTTAGCAGCAAAGCCTATGGAGGGAGAATCTTGATACTAAAGTTTAGCCATTTTCAATGAAAGTTTGTAGGCAAGCTATTGTAAAAAAAAAAAAAAAAAGGGCATGGGGAGATAGGTATGACCATAGGGGGCTGGGCATGGCCATATGGAGCTGGGCATGGCCATATGGAGCTGGCCACTGCTATGGGGGGCTGGGCACAACTACAGAAAACTGGACATGGGCATGAGGAGCTGGGCACTGTTAAGGGGGAGCTAGGCATGGTCCATAGGGAGCTGGGCACTGCCATGAAAGGACAAAGCCAAAAAAAGGTTAAAAAATACCAAAGAGTAGGGAGAGGGTCCTTTATTGTAAATATTGCTCAGTAGTTGTGCAGTATGTAAGCAGCTTGGTTAGGCCAAAAAAATAAGGAAAGACAAGGCAGGTTTTTATCTATCAATAGAAATCAGAGTGTAGTATCAGAGAGACAAAAGCCACATATTGTTCAGTAGTTAGACAGTATGTAAGCAGCTTGGTTAGGCCAAAAAATAAGGGGGAGTGACAAGGCAGGTTTTCATCTTCCAATAAAAATCAGAGTGTAGTATCAGAGAGACAATAGCCACAAATATTGTTCAGTGCTTGTGCAGTATGTAAGCAGCTTGGTTATGCCAAGAAATAAGAAGGAGAGACAAGGCAAATTTTTCATCTTGCAATAAAAATCAGAGTGTAGTATCAGAGAGACAAAAGCCACAAATATTGTTCAGTGGTTTGACAGTATGTAAGGAGCTTGGTTAGGCTGCAATATAAGAGGGAGAGGAGGCAGATTTTATCTTGAAATAAACATTAGATTGTATTATTTGAGAGATGATATCCACAAATAATTTTCAGTGACTGAATAGTCACTGGAATGAAAGATATTGAGTCACTAGTCCAGTGTTTACACATCTGTGAGACTAAGATATTGACCCATAGCCCTCTTACATTTCAAGCTTTCAATCTTCATTCCTATTCCATCCTACTGTAATGGAGTGACCTTCCTATCAAGTGGCTACACTCATGTAAAAGAGCATACCCCTCAGTTAGACAGCAAACACACCGACATTACCAGGTCAAGGAGGCTAATAAGACATATTAGACCTCCTAGGAGAAGTAAGCATCAGTTCTTTATCGTACTTCGTATCTAACAAGATGTTCATAGTTTTACAAGCTTGCTTGTTCACATATTAAATATTGAATCAAAGATACAGATAGGGCAGCATCTTTCGGTACTCGTCGATACCGAGTAGCGATACCGGTACTTCCGCTGGCATGGAGCTGGCTTCCCCGGCATTCAGGCTTCTTGATTGCGCGGAAAGCTGGCTACATGCTGTTTGGCCGCCTCGATTCTGATTGGCCGGGACTGATGTATATTCCTGCCAATTAGCATGGAGTCGGCTTCCCGGCCAATCAGGAAACCAGGAGGTGAGTCATTACCCGCCGACCGACTTCCTTATTGTCCAGGAAGCCGGCTCCATGCTGTTTGGCTGGCTCGATGCTGATTGGCTGGGGCTGAAGACTCTCTCCCACCCTCGTGTGACAACGTCAGACCAAACAGCGCTGTCACGTAGGAGGAAGTTGCGGGATCGCCAGGTATGACTGAGGAATTACGTTTTTAAAACATTTTTTATTTTTAAAGATGTTAAAAGTTTTGAATATCTGTGTGATGTTCACCATTATTGCACAATATATTCGCAGCTGTTCCTTTTTATTAATAGAGCTGAATGGGCATAATGTTATTTCCTGAAATAAAAAAAAAACACAACTATAAAACATTGTCAGCCCCTGAGAAGTTTGCCTGTATAAGAATGGCACATCCTGTGTTTTCTATAGCCGCTTCCCCGGGCTCCAGACTTCCAGCACGCAATGTACTGACAGATGAATGGCCATTTTTGTTTTTTTACCAATGTGGCAGAGCAAAACAATTGGCTGCCAGTCCTCAGGGTAAAGACAGATATTCCGTGCTGATAAATATGCAGGAGAAAGTTATAGCTGAAGTTTAATCTGCTTATATTTTGCCTTTCTGTCCCCCGCCCCCCTCCCCACCACCATATCAGAAGGTTATCAGAAGAACACATCACAGCACCCTGACTTAGTCCTCCTCCCAAGAGCCCTCAGCCTAGATACAAGCAGTGGACTAGATCTTTTGAGGAGTTATGCAAATATCATAATGCCTTGATGGATGGATGTCAGTGTGCAGAAGTAGGCATTCCTAGACAGGTTGCTAGGATGCTAGCGGCTGGGCTGCACAGAGTCATTGGTTGCTAGGACGCAGGTGGGCGCACCATGATGCTGTGGGGCTGACAGCATCTTAACAAATAAATGATGCTGTGCGACTCACACAACATTATTGGATGCTAGGGCATAAGTGTTATGGTGTGCCCGTCTGTGTCCTAGCTACCAATGACACTGTGCAGCCCAGCAGCTAGCATCCAAGCAACTAGTGACACTGTGCAGCCCAGCTGCCAGCATCCTAGCAACCACTGACACTCTGCGGCCCAGCTGCCAGCATCCTAGCAACCACTGACACTCTGCGGCCCAGCGACTAGCATCCTAGCAACTAGTGACACTCTGCGGCCCAGCGGCTAGCATCCTAGCAACTAGTGACACTGTGCAGCCCAGATGCTAGCATTCTAGCAACTAGTGACACTCTGGGGTCCAGCCGCTAGCATCCTAGCAACCACTGACACTGTGCGGCCCAGCCGCTAGCATCCTAACAACCAGTGACATTGTGTGGCCCAGCTGCTAGCTTACTAGCAAATGCTGTCCCTCTAAAGGTGGCCAAACACTCTACAACCATCGCAAGACTTTAGTTTTAAAAAAACGTACGATCTGCCTATCTTGGACAGGCAGATCGCACTCTCGATCATCGCAAGCCTTCCGATGACCGCAATGCTGAACAGGCAGTGAGTTGCTAGGACACCGGCGGCCCTAGGTTCTGTTCAACGAACCCGGATTTCTGACTGGGTTCAACCAAGCAGACTGAACTCGGCTCATTACCATTCACAACTAGTTGGAAGGAATTCTGCAGGAGCTTGTATTAAGGTAAGTATTCCTCTGCGTACCTCATCCACTAGAACAGGGGTAGCCAAAATTTGGCCTTTTAGCTGTGGTGGAACTACAAGTCCCATAAGGCATTGCAAGACTCTGACAGCCACAGACATGACTCCCAGAGGTAGAGGCATGATGGGATTTTTAGTTTCACCGCAGCTGGAGGGCCAGACTTTGTCTAACCCCGCCCTAGAAAGGCAAGCATTATATTCTGCATCAGTTGGGGGGTGATTGGCAACCAATCAGCTTCTGTCTTTCATTTTCCAACCTTAACTGGACAAACTGAAGAGAGAAGCTGATTGGTTGCCATAGGCAACTGCTCCAGATTCTGTCTGCTCCAGTTTTGATACATTCCCCCCCATTGTGTATAATGGTTAGTTAGTATCACACACACACACACAGGAGCGGGGTACTGTTTGCTACGGTTCATGCCAGCGGGCCCAGTTATTTGTCAGTCGTTGCTTCTTATGACAACAAAGGCAGAGATAGGCAAACACCTCTCCGCCTCGGATCGCTGCCTGTTTGGCCCCGAGGTCTTCTCTGAGAACGTGTTTTACCATCAAGGTCGGGAAGAGCCCCAGAGCAGACATGACTGGCTCCAGGAATGTGACATAGAGCAAGAATGCCGCCTTACCAGTTCCTCCTTGTCTGGTCCACCGAGTAGATCTGCTTCCTCAGCCAACTGTGAATAAACAGGAGAATGGGTTCAGTCATGTGCAGCCCTGGTACACCTGGACCTACATAACGGCATAGCGGACAGCATGATGTGTCACGGCTAGTTTATCAGAACCGCAGTATTGGGAAAATAGGGCTGTCGCCATGGCAACCCATCGACTTTAACTCTCACCAAGGAAAAATGAAATCTGATTGGTTAGTACAGGCAGCAGCTTCCCAAACAGTCCCGTTCTTCAGCTCGGATAGGCTCCCGATCATGTGACAGGCAATCACATCGATCACATGATTGGGAAGCCCACCTTTAGCGCCCGGCGATAAGATCCCTTTACAGGGCTGCCGGGTGGCAAGGAATTAAGTAAACCTGTTATTTTGTCTTGCACGGGCAAAGCACAGGTCTGCTTTAAAGAGGACTTGTAATGAGGTTAACAACTCCCTGCCCCTCTGACTAGAGCTGAGCTCAAACCCGGTCCGAACCTGAGCTCCTCCGGACAAGGAAGTGCCATGGGCCCTAATCAGCTGCGGCATGGGCATTACCCACCCCGCAACTGCATGTAAACAAAGGGGCGGGATGGTTGTGCTGACATAATTTTCCATATATGGCCACATGACCATATTAGGTAAATGTTTTATACCATATAAAGGCATGAAGCCATATAAGGTCAATGACATCACTGCATCCCGCCCCTTTGTTTACATCAAGCTGGGGGCGGGGATCCTCTGCCTGCAGCTGTTTGGGCAGCACGGAAGGAGCTTCCTTTCATGTTCGGGAGGAAATCCGTCCAGGTTTCGGAGGAACCTGAGCTCATCCTTTCCTCTGACCATCCTTCTCCCATAAATAGCATGGAAGCCCTGTAACACCGTCCCTGTGCACTGTAAGTATCCATTTTGGACGCACTGACCCTATTATGTGACCTGAATATTATGTGGTCAGGAAACACTCCTACAGTATGAGGGGGTCAAAGATTTTTGCACAGCTTCTTTGGTTGCTAAGGAGCTAGCAGCCCCATAACATCATAGGTTGCAACCTCGGCACTCCATCAGTTGTGGAACTACAAGTCCCATGAGGCATTACAAACCTGAACCCCACAGGTATGACCCCCAGAGGCATCTGGGATTGGTAGTCTCACCACAGCTGAAGGGCCGAGGTTGACCACCCCCGTGCTAGCCTGTTGAGAACCCCACTTGGCAAGTTCACTTGAGCAAAGTGCAGCAGCTTCTCTTCTGGTTTTGTGGTTTGATCATTCTCCTGAGTCATCGCTTGCGATGTTATTCAGGTCTGATGCATAATTAACAATACTTCCCCTCTCTACTTGTGCTGCAATTATTTAAAGTACAATGACGGGGTGTCAGGGTCAGCCTGCTGCTCATAGGAGTATATATATATATACAGGTGAAACTCGAATAATTAGAATATCGTGCAAAGTTCATTTATTTCAATTTCATGTCACTTCCTGTCTGAAAGCCCCAACAGGAAGTTAGAGGAAACCCCTCCAAAGAGAAGGAAATCCCTGGTCACCAGAACATCCTCCTCACAGCCGCCAATGACAGCCAGCAGCCTGCAATGCTATAGCGACCCAGGTGGCCCGCACGGCATCAGGGGGACCCCTTTGTTCCTCATCCTGGCCGGGCCCCCCTGTGCCCTATAGCAGCCGCCTGAGTCACTATGGCGATAGTTCCGCCACTGCAGCAGAAGTAGCGCCCCCATTGGAAGATTTCCCATCTATTCCTGTTCTGGTGACAACCCAAAATTTGCAATTATCTTTCAGTGATAATGGTCACCAGGATATATAGAGGGCAAATCTCCCTAACGGGGACACGTGGGAAAAAAAACACAGAATGTGTGTCGCCAAATTTGCAACTCTACATTTGGCGCTCGTCCCGGGACCCAATGGGGACACGCGCTAAACACAGGAAACAAAGGTGCGGGAACGTGCATCACTGCCACGCACGTTCCCGCTACACCCGTATGTGAATGGGGCCTAAAGGCTTCACTAAAGCCGCTCACAAATTAAGAAAGTTCCAAATCTGCTGATAAAACTTTATTACATCGCAGACATTCGAAGGAGAAAGCCGGACTCACCTCTCTATAATGGCCAGGGTGGGGGCGTTATTAACCTCCTCAAGCAATATATTCAGTCCGACCTTCCATTGCTCTGCATCTTCCACAGAGTCCGCTGCAAGACCCAAATGATAAAAGATTCAAATAAAAAAAAGTTCTGGAATCTGTTTTCATATCTTTGTCTCTCTGTTTTGACTCATGCATGCTGCAGTTTTGATCCTGCCAGTTCATGGGGTCTGTTTATAAACAATTCACAGAGATATTGGCCCTGCAAATCTCTGCGGATGTTCATTCTGTGAGAGAACGAATGCACAAAATGAATGTTCCTGTTATATATTCTTTGTAGGTCGAATGCATTTTCAAATGTCGCGTTGTAATACCTCATTATGGCCACTGGGTGGAGCTGATAAGCACAGGAAATAAATAACCTTTTTACCATTTTCGAACGTCATCTTGTAATACAGCAAATTGGCCACTAGGTGGAGCTGATGAGCACAGGAAGTAAATAACCTTGGCACTGCAGCTATTATGAAACTACAAGTCCCATGAGGCATTGGAAGACTCTGGCTGGCATGACTCCCAGAAGCAGGGGCATGCAGGGATTTGTAGTTTCCCCACAGCTGGAGTAAACCTGCTCCAAAGCAATAGGAAATACATTTCTACTTGTCTCTGGAACAGGTGTCCCCATGGGAAGATTTCCCCTTTCTTCCTGTTCCGGTGACAACTGTCACTTTAAGGATTGGCCCTCGGTGGTTTGGGGGGGGGGGGGGGGGCAATGGTACGGCTTACCTTCTAAGCTGAGTGTGTTCAGCACAAACTGGCTCCCGTAGAAGATGGTGAAGCAGCGTTCGTCCTTCAGGCGCGAGGCCTTCCCGCGCTCAAAGTCTTTGCAGTTCTTGCCCTGCCGAATCTCCTTGATCTCCGAGAGGTCCACTGCAACAAAACACACCACACGGAGACTTCAGTGCGCAGGCAGATCATGGCTGGTGGGAGAGCGCTGTACATAGCTTCCTGACAACATCACAGCACCCTGCCTCAGTACTCCTCTCAAAAGCCCTGATGTAAGCAGTGGGCTGGCTCTTGGGAGGAGTCATGCAAATATCAAAATGCCTTAATGGGTAGGTGTCAGTCCGGAGGAGTGGGCGTGGCTAGGCAGGCTGTATTTGCATGCAGAGCGCCCTGGGTGACGCCCACATGTGATGCTGAGCCGTCATGATTGACAGAACCGAAATCCAATAAATGAAAGGGGTGGAAGGGCTAGATGATGCTGGGCGTCCTCGGCTCTATCTGACTTGCTGAAGCTTCTAATCCACATTTTGAGAAGCTCCCAGTGTGCAGTGCAATCAGAGGAAGCCATTTGAGTCCAGACCAGAGCAGGACACCTGATTTTTCTCTACTGCAGTTCACTAACACTTACGGGTCTTGTCCCTCCCCCAGCCTGTGATTGGACAGTGAAGGGAGAAGCAGCAGTCTGATTTGCTCCTCGCTCTGATCTCTCCTCCCCATCAGTAAGTGCCTTGTTAGGACATGAACACTGAGGCCAAGCTGTCCTGGACCTGCACCCCAGTAGCCCAGTATTGAGCTCCTCTCTCTGTCACTCTGCTCTCTCCTCCTATCAGCATGCTCCTTGTCAGCACATTGACTGATTGGCTCCTTGTGCTGCTTCTTCCTCTCCCCATGTGAGCTCTGCTGTACAATAGGCTGACACCGGGTCATATTGGGGCCCCTACGCGGCTTGTAGTTCTAAAATAATGAAAATATCTTTGTTTTTGTGTCAGCGACCAGAGAGCTGCGTTTACTTTTGTGTCACTTCTATATTTGCCCGGAGTTCAGCTTCAACCACGGAAATCTTCAGCCCGCCCCCCCCCCCTCCCCCGGGCCGCACAGCTACCTGCGTCTGCATGATAAGGAAGTGGTTTTCCGCCGCATGTAATGGACGGTCGCAGAGCTCTTCCTGTTTCTGACAGGACACGGGGAACCATGACAACAGGAAGTGCTCGGGCCCAAGGCCTTGTAGGCCGCACAGGCCTGTGAAGCCCGCAGCCATGAGTTGAGGTGTGAACTCCGGGCAGACAAGGCGATTACATCATTGTAGCGGAGTACAGCGCACATCTCCGCCAGTTAGAGGTTTCACACGGGCGGCGCCGCGGCGGAACGCATTCTCCAGTTACGGTTGGCAGGCGTTCAGGAGGCGACACTGCCGGCTCCTAAATGTCTCCTCTTCTCATCCCAAAGGGGGGCTGTGAGCTGAAATATCCCGCCATCCACAACCACATAGAAGGTGATAGAGCCGGGACCTGGCTGTGCGGGGTCTCAGGCGGGCTATGCCTGCAATATAAGACTGAAGGGGAGGCCGGAGGTCAGATAGAAGACTGAAGGGGAGGACGGAGGTCAGATAGAAGACTGAAGGGGAGGACGGAGGTCAGATAGAAGACTGAAGGGGAGGACGGAGGTCAGATAGAAGACTGAAGGGGAGGACGGAGGTCAGGTATGGAGTTACAGCCCTTGAAGTGTGTTGGCTTCAGTTACACTTTCAGCACTGATGAAGGGAGTTACAGCCCAGAAGGATGTTGGCTTTAGTTGCACTATGAGCCCTGATGACGGGAGTTACAGCCTCCGAAGTGTGTTGGCTTCAGTTACACTTTCAGCCCTGATGAAGGGAGTAACAGCCCTTGAAGTGTGTTGGCTTCAGTTGCATTATAAGCCCTGATCAAGGGAGTAACAGCCCCCGAAGGATGTTGGCTTCAGTTGCACTAGAAGGGTCCCTGTGTGTCGGCAGCAGGACGTTTCCTCTTAAGCTTCGCCTACATAAGTTTTAGAGGAAGGGTCCCTCTGTCCTGCCAGCAGGATGTTTCCTCTTAAGCTCCGCCTACATAAGTTTTAGAGGAAGGGTCCCTGTGTGTCGGCAGCAGGACGTTTTCTCTTAAACTCCGCCTACATACATTTTAGAGGAAGGGTCCCTGTGTGTCGGCAGCAGGACGTTTCCTCTTAAGCTCCGCCTACATAAGTTTTAGAGGAAGGGTCCCTTTGTCTTGCTAGCAGGACGTTTCCTCTTAAACTCCGCCTACATACGCTTTAGAGGAAGGATCCCTGTGTGTCAGCAGCCGGACGTTTCCTCTTAAGCTCCGCCTACATACGCTTTAGAGGAAGAGTCCCTGTGTGCCGGCAGCAGGACGTTTCCTCTTAAACTCCGCCTACATACGCTTTAGAGGAAGAGTCCCTGTGTGCCGGCAGCAGGATGTTTCCTCTTAAACTCCGTCTACATACATTTAAGAGGAAGGGTCCCTTTGTCCTGCCAGCAGGATGTTTCCTCTTAAGCTCCGCCTACATAAGTTTTAGAGGAAGGGTCCCTGTGTGCCGGCAGCAGGATGTTTCCTCTTAAAGGAGAACTATGAGGTGTGCTTTTCACTCACTTCATAGTTCTAGCCGACCTGTGACAATGAGACTGTCACAGGTCGGCTCAGTAGATCGGGAGGTGAGCGAACACATGCCGCCGTTCGCTAGCTCACACAACTGGGCGGATCTAGACATAATTGTCGGGATCCGCTTCATCTGCGGCGTCTCAGTATACCGCGAGCTGTAGCTCGCGGTATACTGAGCTTAGGGTGACGGGAGGACGCTAGTTTTGGAAAAGCCTTAACCCTATAGTTCTCCTTTAAACTCCGCCTACATATGTTTTACAGGAAGGGTCCCTGTGTCCCGGCAGCAGGACATTTCCTCCTAAGCTCCGCCTACATACGTTTTAGCGGAACATTCCCTGTGCTGGCAGTAGGACGATACCTGCTAAGCTCCGCCTACATACGTTTTAGAGGAACATTCCCTGTGCTGGCAGTAGGACGATACCTGCTAAGCTCCGCCTACATACGTTTTAGAGGAACATTCCCTGTGCTGGCAGTAGGACGATACCTGCTAAGCATCACAGCCGCCTCCGCCATGACACCATCACTTATCATACCAGCGCTTCCACTTTTCATTTCCTTTCACTTTTTGTTCTTGAAGCGATTCCTGAGAACTCCCGGGAAACCCCAGAGCACCGCGACCGACCAATCGTCACTGAGAAGACCGAGGTCTGCTTTTTATTTAGGGGTGTTCCACAAGGACACACCTCAGAGATCATCAGATAATGTCTCCCCCCGGCAGCAATAGATCACTACGGCTCCTCTGGTGTGTCGCTGTGTTATATGACATGTACAGGAGGCTGGGGATAATGACAGAAATGACTGGGAATATATTAAAGGAACAGTCCACCCAAAAGTCATATATTAATGCAGGCGGAGCCAGAACCTGGCTTTTTATATACAGGTGAAACTCGAATAATTAGAATATCGTGACAATGAAAGCTCCTCCCATCATTCCTGGCTCTGCACCTGTAATCCCGAGAGTTCTGGGCGTCTCCGCCCCCCATCCTCCTTGTGTGTTCTCAGCTCCTCCCATCACATACTTTATAATATAAAATAAATAGAAACCCAGAAGGGATAATGGGAGACCCTCATAATGGGCACAGCAGGGATGGCAGGAGTCCCTCATAATGGGCACAGCAGGGATGGCGGGAGACCCTCATAATGGGCACAGAAGGGATGATGGGAGAGACTAATAATGGGCACGGCAGGGAAGGGATGGCGGGTGCTCCTCATAATGGGCACAGCAGGGATGGTGCAAGCTCCTCATAATGGGCACAGCATGGATGGCGGGAGTCCCTCATAATGGGCACAGCAGGGATGGTGCAAGCTCCTCATAATGGGCACAACAGGGATGGCGCAAGCTCCTCATAATGGGCACAGCAGGGATGGTGCAAGCTCCTCATAATGGGCACAGCAGGGATGATGGGAGCTCCTCATAATGGGCACAGCAGGGATGATGGGAGCTCCTCATAATGGGCACAGCCAATGTGCAGACCCAGGAGGGTCAATGGCCACAGATGGCAAATGCACCCGAGTTGCACAATGTTCACGGGCTCATTCACACAGCGTGCCCCTCCGTAAGGCGTGCAGAGACTTGCTCCCGTGAGGGACGGGTGCTGCGTGTCACCGTGTGAAGCCGCCTGTACCTAACGGGAGCAGGTCTCTGCATGCGCGCCGAACGCATGTGCGCGCCCGTGTCAATGAGCCCTTAGAGATCTAATCGGCACCGCCTTCAGGGACCTTTTGGATGGCGGTCAAGCAGCGGTCCTTCGCCTTTAAAAGACGGCCGGCGGTAAAGGAAAAAGAAAACCAGCAGCCATTCCCGGTCCTTCTAAACGGAGACAAGTCGATCTCTTTGGACCGGGAGTCAGGGGTCGTCGGATTTAAGTAACTTGTCTCGGCTCCGCCATCATCTCGTCAATAAATGAAAACGTTTCGTTCTTTCATGTGAGATAGGGAAAAGCAATTTAACGCGATGACCTCTTGCACGGCGCTGAAATTGTATTCTCGCTGTGAATGGTACAGAGAGCGGCCGGCTCCTGAAAGTGATTTGTGACCGCGGCTGGAAGGAGGCCTCGTTTTGTTGCTTTGGATGAAGTGAAATCGTTCGCTCTGTCTGATGTCACATCGAATATTTATCTCCAGAATACTTTCTACGCGGGAAGTTTATTTTACACAACGGTCAGTTAAGTCGCTTAAAGGGAACGCGTTGGGGAGAGCGGTTTGGGAGCTGTTGCAGCTGAACCACCTTTGGCGTGGGCGTCATACGACGTGATTGACAATGGATGTACATTGCTGGGCACCTTAATGGGGGCTTCCAGGTTCTGATAAGCTCCCCCACCTGCAGGCCAGAGATATCTGGATTGCCCCCATCAACATGGGGACCTGGTGCTTTGCCAGGGAGGCATATGGCGGCTGGCCAGGTATGGTTCACATTCGCTGCCCTTTCCTTTTCTGGCCAGCCAGGCTGCATGCCCCAGATAAGAGTCTGGTATGGATTTTTGGGGGAAACCCACTCCCCCCCCCTCCCCCCTCAGAGGGAACCCACCTTTTCTTTTTCTTTTTTCGAATTGAAGAAAACAAAAAAGTTGTTTTTCTCCATATCAGTCATAAACCCCGGAGCGCCTCACCATGCGTTGGGTGAAAAATCTAGGTGGCACGTGCCCACCAGCCGCAATCCGGCCACACGTGCCCTAGGACAGGAAGCCCCTTACTTACAGGACAAACAGGTGGAATCCAAAGTAAAGGAAGCGGCAGGAAAAGACATCTCCCTCAAAGCAATCAACTCAGTCACCTGGGTGTACATTCACTTTAAATCTATCATATTGTATTGATTTTTTTTTTCATATTGTATCAGGATTTCCAGGTAGGGTTGCCACCTGTCCAGGATTCACCCAGACAGTTCGGCTTTTTGAATTCTGTGTCCAGGTTTCATGGCACCAGGAACCCGGACACAAGATGTCAGGTAGACAGGGGCAACCAAAATTATGATAGGGGCTACTGCCCCTTACTGAAAATAGTCTCAACTGTGATATTTACATTTGAATAAGCCATGACTCCATCTCCCCAAAAAATATGTCTGCGTGTCGCTAGAGTGTTCGGGTTTCGCTTGAAGCAAAGGTGGCAACCCTATTTCCAGGGGCGTAACTAGAAATCACAGGGCCCCATAGCAAAATGTTGTATGGGGCCCTGTGATTTCTAGTTATGCCACTTGCAGAGCCCACCTGAGGGTGACCCTGCAGAGCCCACACTAGACTCTCTATGCGCTAGGGGGAGGCTGACGAGCTTTTCACCTAGAAAAATGGCACGCGGCAACCCACTGAACATGGGGTCGCGACCCACTTTTGCGTCACGACCCACCAGTTGAGAACCAAGGGTCTAGAAGTATAGAAGAGTACTTACAGAATCCTTCAATCTTATCCGCCGTCTTACTCCACGCCACCTGGAAAGTCTCCATTATGACCTGGATGGTCCTCCGCTCCGGCTGAGACTTCTTGTAGTTAAATACCGTCATCACGGTGCCCAGTTCGAGGGTCCTCTTGATGTGGCTCCTCTCGTACTCCTCGAGAGCACGGTAATCGGAAATGCTCCTACGAGCCATCGTCTGTAAACCGTCCCAGCAGACCGCCGTTCACCTTTCTAAAACCGCTGTGCAGAAAGAAAAAAAAAAAGAGGGTGATTAGAAATGGTCACATTTTATGGACTTTGATCTCAATTCACAAAGATCACACACAGGGACGAAGAACTGTGAAGCTGGCTTCCTATCCAATTAGGAAGCCAGGAGGCGGGTCATAACCCACCGCCCGACTTCCTCATTGGAAAGGAAGCTGACTGCATGCTTCCTCGGCACTTGCGGTCAGAGAGGGAACTCCCTCTGACAGGAAGTTCTGGTATCGGGGGTATGTATCAGAGCATTTGGACGAGTACTCGCCCAAATACTCATTATCAATACTATTATCGGTATCGGTGCATCCCTAATAATTTTGCATGACCCGCGAATGATGTTATAAATATCCAAATAGCCCTTGGCAGGAAAAAGGTTCCCACCCCTGCGATAAAGGAAAGCTAGAATGTTTTTTGGGACAATATAAAACTTTGTACAGCGAGTCTGGTGAAAGGACGCGATCCAATGACCATTAGGCTACTAGATGTCAGCAGTGCCAGGACAAGGACCCCTGGCACCTAAAGTTAGGCTACCAAGGGGTTCCCCCTCCTATTACACTCTTTAATTGGGTACTAGAAACATTTAAATTGTTTATATAAATGGATAAACAGAGAAATCAGAATCTATTGTAATGATACAGCACAACCTAACTTTAAAAAAATATAAATTGCGAGCAGGCCGGATCTTTATTTCAGAAGAGACATGTCATGGGGCTGAGTTGTAACTCTTCTTACCAGTGCATAGCTGGGTGAATGCCGTTTGCGAACCACTTCTGCCACCAGATGGCGCTGAGGAGCGTAGGAAATTCCTATGATCCACAGCACCAACTAGTGGCAGTAGTTCAGCGCGAATGGTATTTGTCCAGCTATACGCATAGGAAATTCCTATGATCCACAGTCCCATCTAGTGGCAGTAGTTCAGCGCGAACGGCATTTGTCCAGCTATACGCATAGGAAATTCCTATGATCCACGGCGCCAGCTAGTGGCAGTAGTTCAGTGTGACGCATTTGTCCAGCTATACGCATAGGAAGTTCCTATGATCCACGGCGCCAGCTAGTGGCAGTAGTTCAGCGCAAATGGCATTTGACCAGCTATACGCATAGGAAATTCATATGATCCACAGCGCCATCTAGTGGAGTAGTTCAATGCAAACGACATTTGTGACTGACAGTGAAAGGAGAAGCAGCAGACTGATGAACTCATCTGTCACTCTGCCCTCTCCTCCTATAATGTTCCTTGCACTGCAGCACACCTAGCTGTCTCCTTCTGCTGCTTTTTCCCCCTCCAGTCTGAGCTCTGCTGTCCATAGACTGCAAGGGGCTGATACCAAGTCAACTTTTGGTACTTGCTCGTATTTAAAATGCTTTTAATGACATAATGAATACAGAGCTGCACTGATTTGTAATATTTCTATCTGCCTGGGGTTCAGGTTTAACAGCTAGGAGTCATCAGGGGTCTAGTTCAGGAGTAGCCAAACTTCGGCCCTCCAGCGGTGGCGGAACTCCAAATCCCATAAGGCATTGCAGGACTCTGCCAGCCACAGGAGGGCTGACCTTTGGCTCCCACTGGTCTAGCTGGAATAGAGAAAATGAATATGAGTAGAGATGTATCTGTTTGTCTCTGCTCAGAGCCTCCCATGATGTACAATGTTATTATTCAGCAAGGCCAGTCCCAATGGCTGCAATGAGTAGCTCTTTGTTTCATGAATGGCGGAGGATTTGCATGAGTTCAGTAGAACTGAAGCCAAAACCTTTTTTTTTTTTTTTAGTTTTTAAGTTTTGGATAGACTAATGATGGAGTAAGGGAGGGTTATAACCCTTGTCAACTTCTTTTGTTGCCCTCTGTTCCCCATTGGGGAGATTTCCCTTCACTTCCTGTCCAATAACCACAACAGGAAGCTAGAGGAAATCCCTCCAAAGTAAGGGAAATCCCTGGTGGTCAGCAGGACTACTGCCCCCTTTACAAGACTTCTCGTTTTAGATCTGGATAGCGTAGGAAGTAGACCTGTGCCATTCGTTTCATTCTAAATCAAAATCCGTGCAACTTTTTCGAAATTCAGACACATCCCAATGTTCCGAATCCAAATTTCCGTTTACGAATTTCGGATCCCGTCCGAATTTCGGTAAAAAACAAAACTGAATCGGACATGTTAACTTTTCTGGCCAATCACATGTGTTTTTCGGTTTAATGCATCCAAATGGGTCTGAACACGAATCTTTGTTACGGGAACATGGGAGCCATATACAGTCTATACATATAATACTAAAGCTGAGGCTCCCAGACCTGAATGGCATTGGGGATCCGAATTTCCAAACTGCATACAGGAGCTCCCGAATGCCATTGGGGTCTGGGAGCCTCAGCTTTAGTAATATATGTATATGGCTCCCAGACCCGAATGCCATTGGGGTCTGGGAGCCTCAGCTTTAGTAATATATGTATATGGCTCCCAGCTCCTGTATGCAGTTCGGAAATTCAGATCCCCAATGCCATTCGGGTCTGGGACATTCAGCTTTAGTATTAATATCTGTATATGGTTTTCTGTGGTAGTCTTAACGAATATTTGTAAACTCATCCAAAACTAAGTAAAATTCGGATTTCGTCCGAATCCGAAACCCGAAGCGAATTGAATTTCGGATCAGAATCCCGAAATAACGAAATATCCGAACCAAATTGTTACGTAGGAAGGGTTTAGACCCTCTATCAGGTTTTAAGTGTTAAGTTTGTCCCCGTTGACCATTGTCACTGGAACTAAAAGTGAGGAGAAATTCCAAATTCTTGAGCTGCCACCACAAGAGGAGATTTGTTGTCCAACTGATGGAGACATCAGTTCTGGTGACAACTGTGTAAGAGGAGAATTCCCCTCACTTTAGGGAGATTTCCTGTTGCTTCTCCGAGATGACAAGTGAAGGGAAATCTCCCCAACAGAAATATGGATCCACCCTGTACACAAATCTCTCTCGCCTCCAAGCTCCCGGGATACACGGCGGTGGTGTCACTTTAAACAGAAGTCACCACAATTATTGATTGTCTTCTACTGTTTGCTTTGGGTAAAAATGATTTCTTTTTAAGAGCTGCAGACAAAGTAGAAAGTCCTTTTTAAGAGCTCAATCCTGGCAGACAAAGCAGAGCGTCAAAGGAGAAACATTTACACAGTTCTTATCGGCAGCCTTGACTCTATTTACTTCTTTTGCATGTGTTATTCTAAAACGAAAAAAGTGACTCGAGGACATGGCTGAAAACGCTGACAGAGGTGACCTGCTGATAAACTCTATGAAGTGAAAGCAAATGAGACACTGCTCTGCTGGAGGTGGCCACCCAAAAACATGCTGGATAGGTGAAAACACTGTTGAAGGTCCAGTGACAGTGGCTGATAGCAAGTAGGGATGATCTTGGGTTCACATCAAACCGGGTCCAAACGTGAACTCCTCCAAACATGGAAGGATCTCTTCCAAACATGGAAGGAACTCCTCTCGAACATGGAAGGAGCTTCCCCTGAACCTGGAAAGAGCTCCTCTCGAACAGGGAAAATGAAATAGATGAAAACATTGTTAAAGGTCCAGTAACAGTGACTGGTAGCAAGTAGGGATGCTCCTCCCGAACAGGGAACATGGAAGGAGCTCCTGTCGAATAGGAAAGGAACTCCTCCTGAACATGAAAGAGCTTCTCCTAAACATGGAAGGAGCTTCTCCTAAACATGGAATGGAGCTTCCCCTGAACATGGAAGGAGCTCCTCTCGAACAGGGAAAGAGCTCTTTCTGAACATGGAAGGAGTTTCTCCTGAACGTGGAAGGAGCATCTCTCAAACAGGGAAGGAGCTCCTCCTGAACATGGAAGATGAAATAGATGGATAGATGAAAACATTGTAAAAGGTCCAGTGTCAGTGGCTCATAGCAAGTAATGATGATCTTGGGTTAAGATCGAACCTGGTCCAAACATGAGCTCCTCCAAACATGGAAGGAGCTCCTCCCTGAACACGAAAGGAGTTCCTCCCCGGCGCTCCTCCCGAACTTGGAAAAAGCTTCTCCTGAACATGGAAAGAGCTCCTCTGGAACAGGGAACACGATAGAAGCTCCTCTCGAACAGGAAAGGAGCTCCTCCTGAACATGGAAGGAACTTCTCCTGAACATGGAAGGAGCTACTTTTGAACAGGGAAGGATCTCCTCCTGAATATGGAAGATGAAATAGATGGATAGATGAAAACACTGTTAAAGGTCCAGTGACAGTGGCTGATAGCAAGTAGGGACGATCTTGGGTTCAGACTGAACCTGGTCTGAACATGAGCCCCCCTGAACATGGAGGAAGCTCCTTCTGACCATGGAAGGAGCTCCTCCTAAATTTGGAAGGAGGTTTTCCTGAACATGGAAGGAGCTCCTCTCAAACAGGGAAGGAGCTCCTCCTGAACATGGAGGGAGCTTCCCCTGAACATGGAAGGAGCTCCTCCTGAACATGAACGGAGCGCCTACCAAACATGAAAGGAGCGCCTACCAAACATGAAAGGAGCTCCTTCCGTGCTGCCCAATCAGTTGCAGAAGGGGAATTTCCCACCCGCAACTTTGATATAAGCAATGGGGCAGAGTGCCGTTACATCAATGACCTTATATGGCTACATGGCCATATTATGTAAATGACATGCCATCCCTAATAGCAAGTAAAGATGTATCTTGCACGATTTGGCTCCTGCCATTGAGTGTCCCAAGAGTTAATTAAAGTAGATGCAAACCCAAACACTAAAATCTCATTTGAAAAGTAATTTTTAATCCTTTCAAATACCTGGTGATCCTGTCATAGAGGTCCTTGTTCAGCCACTTCCTGTTAAAAGGTGACAACACTCTGCCCCTGTCGCCTTATGCTCCTGCGTTGCCAGCCCGTCCTATAGACCTTCCAGTGGACAATGTAGGAGACTCTTATTACACAGGTATGTTCTGTTGCCGTCACCAACAGGAAGCTTGCCTTGAGCAAGGATATGCAGCAGCCACTGGAGTGA